TTTATTTATTTATTTATTACTTGTAACAGTTTTTTCCAGAACGGTCACGGGGTGGTGCTGTCTCGGTGCATTGAACGTGTGTTGTCGGTGCTCGGTTGTGGCACTGGGTGGAGCGCGCGCCTCCCCGTTCCGTTCTGCTCCAGGATTTGACGTGTCGTCTGTGTTTTTTCTGCACTTCCTGCTTCCTCCGTGACTGTTTTGAGCCAGCAGTCCCGTCCGAAAGCTGATCGGTAGGAATCGTTAAACGTGGCAATGGTGTGAAGGTGCGCGATCGGCGGCGGTGTGTGTGATCGTGAGTGAAGCCCGAGCTGTTATTGCTGTCAGCCATGCAGTTCTCTCCCACCAACGGAGATTTTACCTTCGTCTCCTCGACGGACGCTGAAGGTACAGTAGTTAAAGGCCCCAAAGCATCCATACGTCTCTTCTCTGATATATGAATCTATTTTATGATAGAATTGTTTGTGTGTATGATACATACATGTGTATACATGCATTAATATGAGAATATATCCAAGTATGTGAATGATCAAGCCTCTTAATGCATCATGACACGGGAGTTGTTTGTAGACTCAATAGGGATGCAATAGTGAGCTGTATTTATCTAAAACAACCTCTTACCCACCAGAGCTCAGTGGCACCATCGATGCACCAGATATCACACTAAGTATGGGCCCTGATTCCACCAGGGACACTTACGCCACCACCTTCCTAAAACAGAGAGGTTATGGATGGTTGCTGGAGGTGGAGGAAGAGGATTCCGAGGACACTAAACCGCTCCTGTGAGTTTTTGGGACTCGATTTCTGATGCCTGATTTCACATTTGGTTTTGGTTGTGTTTATTTGTTGTCTGTGTTTGTGCAGGGAGGAGTTGGACATTGATTTAAAGGACATCTACTACAAGATCAGGTGTGTGTTGATGCCCATGCCCTCGCTGGGTTTTAATAGACAGGTGGTGAGGGACAATCCTGATTTCTGGGGCCCGCTGGCTGTTGTCCTGCTCTTCTCCATGATCTCCATCTATGGACAGTTTAGGGTGAGAATTGAGTCTTTGTATCTTGACCATGAGCAGTATTTTATATGTGTAGTGAAGATGCATGTGCACATAGAGCTACCATCAAAATCCAAAATAGATTGCCATGGACTGTAGGCTTATGACAAGGTTATCTTCAATAAAATGAATGATATTTGTGCTTCAAAACCCACAATGTCTATTCATCAAATATTTTTAAATATTCATTCTGCCATAATGAAGGGGTGATGACATTTCTTATTACTTCTCAACAATTATTTAATATGTAATTTAATGCAAGTTTTTATGGACTGAGAACCCTAAAAATGATTAAACTAAGTATTAATTAGATAATTATTATAGTAGAATAGTTGTAGTAATATTATATTAATAGCACCATACTAAAGTGTCTTTCAGGAAGGCATGAAGATCGGAGAGGTTCATTATTTTGTCAAGTTTATTTGTACAGCGCTTTTCACGATACAAATCATTGC